GGATGGTATCAGTTCAATTCCTTGTGTATGTGGGGGTCTTCTTTGTGACCGAAATACAACAGCATGTCTCCTGAAATTAGTCTTTTTTGTCCACACTATGTCCAATAAATTTCATTTATTTCAAACAGAACAAGGTTGTATCTTCTTATTCTCACCATTTGTACAGTTCTCCCTGTCTCCCACATTGTTTAGATAATCTTTGTTCTTATATTGGTTGTTGCTCTATTTTTCAGAAGAGGCATCGGCCTGTAGTGTCAATTATCATTTTAAGCCCATATACCTTATTATAGTTTTCGGACAAACCAATCTATTCATTCTACTCGAGTCATATATTGACCTTGTTAGTTATTCGCTTACCAGTCTTCATTGTTTTTATATGAGCGCATATGTGTGTACACTTCCCATTCCATTCATCACATGTCTGTAGCTTATTTTTGTCTGCCTATAAATATTGATTAACGCCTGACTAAAATGAGTTGGCTTACCAGCCATCTCCACTCTGCGTCGCTTCTCTTCCTTCTATTCCATTCATCTCATATACAAAATATATGTATTCAAAATCCCATTTTCGTTATTTGACTCGTTTAATTCCGTTATTGGCTAACGTGATTTAAGTCGACGATTATATACGAGAATAGGCGATAACAAACATTCGTACGATCTTAATAGGAGTCAGATCCACGGGCCACTGAAGGCCTCGTGACTTTGTAAGCATCTTGCCTTTCACCATGAAGCATCAAAACTGTTTATATGGAAACACTTCAACTCCCAGATCGGAATTTAGTGCGTTTCTCCGATTCGTATTTTGTAATGGATTCCATTTTTATAAAGTGAGGTTGCTAATTCCACACCCAACCCTCTTCCTTTACACGTTCTTGGGAAGAACATTAGCTCCAGAAGGCCTCCTAGTCGAGTAATAGTATAGATAAACTGAGAAATATTATGACATCATTGAGTTGGAATCTCTGTAGCCCATTTTTATCTTCTCTACATTTTTCGAGTGTCCATTGTTTCCTCATCTTCCTGTTGAATACCTCTATATAGAGGATTTAATTTCATAAATTAGTGAATGATATCAAAATATAAACAATTTTTAGATGAATTTCAGTTAGGTTCATCTTTGTTAGATATTTTTGTGTGTAAATAGAAACCAACTCAAAATCAGATTGATAAATCTTCTGTGTACAAGCACTGGATTAATATACTTGATACTTGTCTTGCGTTTTGATTTTTTTATACAACATGTGTATTCCGAAACGGACTGGAGATTTACTGTACTGTTGCCCTAAATTTTGTCAGAGAACTTTAGATTTTTACTTTTTTTGGTCGATAAATATGTCACCTGAATTTTTACGTAAAGGTACCAATAACATTGTTTTTGTAAACCACTCCTCAATACTTGTTAAAAAAGGCTAATTCTGAATTTCAATGAGTTTAAGTACAATGAAATATGCCCATGTGATTTTCATCTGTTTTTGATACGTGCTTTCAGCCCTCACTACTTATAAAAACCTTGGAAACAATGGTGAGATATTTATGGTTAGTTTTCTTCCTTTTGCTGAAACTAAAGAATATAAAAACAAGAAATAAATTGTATATGTATGTCATTTTTCAAGTGATTCTGGAAGTAAGAAACTGCTTTATAAAAGTTCCACCCAACATCTTATAAATTTTGGTTACATAAAGGAAACTAGAAATTTGATAAATTTATAAGTAAAAAAATAGCGGGGGCTTCGAAATGTTCCACTGCCAATTCAGTCCTGCAGTAAACACAGACCATGGGCTTAATCAGTCAGCTTTGATGACTCAGAATAAACGACACGTTATAAAAATAATAGAACGGACAGATAACATTCCATACATATATTTCAGTAACATTCTGGTTATCCTCGAGCAGAATGAGACTCTAATAATGTTTTCTCAGAATCGAATGCTAACCTTCAAGAGGTTAATTTGTGCCCAAACAAAGACATAGACACATACATGCCCATAGTACTAATTCAGAAACCTGCTACATTTAGTAAGCTAGATAATCACCTAGAATTTGAATTGTATACTCTGATAAACTTATAATAACCATTTTCTTTTAAAATTAAGAAGGTTGAAAATACCGCTAGTAATCAAAAACTAAACTACATAACTTAATAGATATACGGGCAGGCGTAAAATAACACAGAAGAAATAGCGTCATTTTGATTTAGTGTAACAGGATCAGAAAAACAGTTACATTGCTACGTCAATTGAACACTTAACAAATACAAGACTAGTAATATACAGGAAAATCTATGGTTGAATAAGTTAAATAAATACAAACTTTCCTATTTAAGATTCTGGCGCACCATTACTTTGAGAAACAAAGTTATAATTGACAATTAAACAACCAATATTCTTAATAAGGCCCACAAATATTATAGTAAAGCAAATGTTTTCCTAGTGAATAATTCGATTTACTTGAACCACAGGTTATTAGCTTCATACTATATAACTAACTGCCTTATTACTCACAGGTGAGTTATTATTAGAAGTTTTTTACATATATTTCAAGTACATTTTTGGAAAATACAGACTATTCACAAGTGAAAATAACCTACTGTATAACATACTAATAGAACAGGTCACTCTAAAAAAAGCTAATCAAAATGTGTCGCTTCATGAAAATGTATATAGAAGTTTGCCATCTGGTAACAGATAACAATCATAACCGTTTTCTTAATTGACATTCCCCTGAAGTGAAAAATTATGAGACCAAATATTATACTTTGGAAGTAGACTAGAAGTAGAAAAGCTTAAATTTTTATAAAAACCTCACGATAATGCGAAGAACTTACAAGTTGACATTAGATATGCTTTCTAAAAAGACTCGTAATACATTCATCCCAGCTTATTTATATCTCTTTATGTCTGATTTAAACATGTGATACTAACTTATTGATTTTTAGATAACAATTCAAGTTAAGAAAAAAAATTATTATTTATCAATCTTTGATTGATATTTTAACGTCCGGAACGGAAAGTTCAAATACATTAAAATAAGTGTATACGAATATAGATTAAAGCTAAATTTAATTAGATTTGATTTCGATAATAAAGCAGATAAGCATTAGGAATAGGTTGTAAATTTAACCTTAATTGTTCCTCTAGTATGCTTAGGGAAAATATTGATGTTTTTTATTTGAAGATTGAATTGATGCACGAGTGATAAATCAAATGAATGCGTCATAAAACACGAATTGTGTAATTTTCGTATGAATAGTAACCCTTGTTTATGCAAGCTTTTTATTATATTGACCACTGTAAAGTGAAAATAATAACCTTCTATGATGTTTCGAATTATTATTATACGAAATAAGAGTCCCAGAGATAACGCAATTGAATTAAGAAGTAAGACACAAGCATAAGCGAATGTACTGTATTTGGAATTCGAAATCGTGCAATCAACAAGTACAAAAGTATTATCAGTTCGTTCAAACACCACACCTTCATACTATGGGTAGTTGTTATTTGAAACAATCAAAGTTTATCAATCGAATAAAATTATAACTGTTTAACGTGTAGGCGAGTTCCCACTGATGTTTAGTTGGTTAATTATAGAAACTTGTCCAATTATTTAGTGAGTAGCTTCACTTTCAAAATTGTTTGACAGATTCTCCAGAGGTTCAGGTAATTCTTCATGTTTCTTTCTTCACTAAGGCCTTCAGTAATGTTTTCTCAAAAGATTTAGATATATTGAGTCATATCCGATGGACGAATTTAGTAATCTTAATTTTACTGACGTTACTGAGATCGATGTTTCCAACTCGACCTATGTATTCAGAAGAAAAATGTGATTTTTTTGGTCTGTCTTAGTCTTCTGATTTTCGTCTTACAAAATTCTATTAATGGATAATTACTAATTTTTTGGTCACGTCTGGTACCATCATGTAATCATTTATTAATTTCGTTACCCTTACATAATCGCCTTCTATCCTCATTGAGATTACTAATAGCCATAACACATATTATACTCTGCGTCAAAAAGTTTTAACATACAAATCCGCGTCACAGATTTTGTTTTGTCCTTCTGACTGTTTTAGTTTCCAATATTCATCGAAACTACAGTCATCCACGTTAGACCATTGTTCATAACATACAATAGTAGTTATTACTTTACGCTATTTGGAGCTGATGAGTAGTCATTTAATAGAATAAACATAGATTTTATCTCAAAACCTTGTTATTCTTGTGCTGCCTAATTTCATAAAGGGAAGTGGTTACATGGAAACTAGAAAAATGATTAATTTCTTTCAGAAACTTCATTTGTTAATACCTATAACGAGTATACTTCAATGACACCTACAGAGTATATGTAGTATCTAACATGAGGACAAAAAGGGCTGGATGCTCTTCATTTCTACAAATTACTCAATTCCATAATTTCAGAAGTGGAACATAAACAGGCTTCTTTGCAAAACCAGTCTTACTCATCATCATGGTTAGACCAGAGGAACTGTGAATTTTTCAGCCTTGTCACTTGGACAGTTAAGTTAATCGAAAATTCGGCAAAAATTTTATTTCACATAATCAGAACTTTTTAAACGATTAATAACAGCAAATATAAAGTGAAGCATGTATATAAACATATGCCATCTGAGTAGAGATAAACGTTTCCGAAAACTATTACAAAGTTGTTCAATTCACCATAAAAATGTCAGTTTGTTTCTTTGCTAGGTCACATATGATCGTTTTTCATATTCTCACCAGGCTTTTTCAAGGCTGAATGGATTCGTTGCTCTAATCACCCTCCTTAAGTGCATTCTTGTCTGTCCCTCACTCCAATGACCTAGAAACCGAATAACGATTGGTTAATAAGATAATGAGTGATGGAGAGAACAATTAATAGTTTGAATAGCCGAACACAATGTACTAGATTAGCTAATAGGATACAGCAATCTACCAACAAATAAGGTATTTTACAGAGAAAAAAGAAAATCCATCAAATGTGTTAATGCCAGAATGGATTTATGACACTTCAGAATATGGCAGATTCAGTGAGTGAATAATTCTTTTAAGTATTAAATTTTAACTACAATGGGTATTTTGTTTAGAACGTTTACTTGACTGTTTTCTTTTATTGAATGGTAATCGTAAACTGTACTATCCTATTAATATCATACGTATTGTGACGCATTATTACTATTAACATTTATGCTTTTTCTCAGAACAAACTTATTACCTTTGTCTATCGCACTATTTCGTTAAACAAACTAACATAACTTAGTTTACGTACATTAATTTGCGTGCTAAACCTAACAGTAAATCCATAATAGTTGAGTAGGATAGGTTGCTTATTCATTTCAACCATGTGAGCTGGTTCGTAGGTAAGGATCAAAGAGCTTATCGATCGATGCTGCTAGTGGCTCTCACAAAATGACGATTAATAACCTACAATTGTCTTTTTTTCAACAAGTTACACTGAATACCTTTCTATCCAAACAGTTGATTGAACTTAACTTAGATTTCATTTATGACATTTTGTAAATCAAATCGCCTATTCTTAATGCTAATACCATTAATGCATATGGATCTTTGTTGCCAGATAGGATTGAACGTCTCACTAAAAGGCTTTTGATAATCTTAAACCTCTGTTTCATTTAGTTTCTTACTCTTATCCATGAAATATTTGCAAAACCTTTGTAGCTTAGTGGTTATGTTAATCGAACGTCTATGATGACCCCAGCCCATATATAGACAATGAAATTCATTGCTCGCTCATCCGTTTATTGCGTTTGATGTCTAAATCGTTGACATCTATTAAATATGCCGTATGACTAAAGACCTAAAAACTTGATGCTTTCAAACTGTACAGTAACTTTCAGTTTATTTCTTAAACTCTTTTACATAAGATATATCTCTATATCTTGTGAAATTCATATATTGTGATTGGACAAAATATCTATTATATTTGTTGAACTAGCATAAATCTAACAATTATATTGCTTCCAGCATTGATACTTAACATAACGGAATTTAACTGGATAATATTTTTAAATGGATTGGTAAAAATCATTTCTATACGTTTTGAATAATTATCACTGGTTAAAAGAATAATTCAAATCCATGAAAAAATATGCATTCGCCATCGATGTAGTTTATAATATGATATAATATAATTTGTCAATATAACAGCGGGTCACTTAAAACTTTCCATTAGTAAACCATTTAATTCAATCTACCAGTAATGCTCTTAATTCAATCTTTCGAATTAAAACGAAGATCCATCTCATGCATATTATCGACGTATACGAACTAGTTAAAATTGAGGAACGATCCGTTTCAGTGTGCGTGCATTGACTCACCTTAATTTGGAAAAATAAATGAAAAGTTAACCTTAGATCTAAGCTTTTATTGATTTTGTGAACATTTGATACGATTAGCATCTATTTATCAAAGTTATTGTCTGTTGAACAGAGCCGTGCAATTAGGTGGAGAATCCCTGGTTAGGGCTTGCATGACTATCGTAACCAGTGATTGCGGACGTCGGGTGGCAAGGACCGAAGTCGGCTGAGATGATGTAGATACTCTCATTCTTTGTCTTCCCTGAGATTTTGATACTTTCTTCGTTTTATACGAAATCTTTTCTACTATTACAGATACTGTTATTATTTATACTATCGTGGGATTCGCCTTGATAGTTTCAGCCCTCTGAATTAATATGGTGTGGCAAGTAAAACCGATGCACGAATGTGCCATGTTCTACGTTTCATATGACACACTAATATCGTTAGAATCTCTCTCCGGGGTTATAGAAGTTCGAAATGTCCCATAGCTATCTCAAAATATTACATTTCGAATCGAAAACACAATTACAGTTATGGGTGCCATTATTTGTAATGAAAAAACTACGGTTAATCGTTGTTAAAAGCATTAAGAATCACACACTAATATATATACAGTGATGTGGGTTGACCAAATAGTTACATGGCTTATTCAAACTGAAAGTTACTAAGAGATCACTAATCTTAAAATAGTTTTTATTATATTTAGCTTTTGATATGTGGCCATTGAGAGCAGTGGATTATGAGTTATTTGTTTTATCCTAGTTGAGGATATCTCGACTTTACACGCTATCAATCAACAAATGGGTTGAATCTATAATTAAGATTTTTTTAAATTCTAAGAATATTTATGTGAGATCATAGAAACAAAGTATGAGTTTATTGAAATGGGTCGAAGATTTTTAGAATGAATCGATCCAAAACTAAACGAGTTTTGTTATCTGCTTTTAATAAACTCAATTAAGGCTCTAAGCCATAGAAGTTTCCTGAAGCTCAAAAACCATGTTGATTGTACTCAAAACCTAATATGTAAACACTGCAAGGGATAAGTTCCAAGTCGTGAACTTAGATTGCTTTCCCATTAGTTTTTATGAGCGTGTAATATCCACTGTTCATTGGATCCATGCCTCCATTATTTAACGCTACAATCTTGTTTTATGGTAACAACAATCGATTTAGGCCATAGACTACTAATAACTATATTAGGACAGATTATTCACTGAGAACAATACATTATCAAAATTCCGTCATCATGTTAACAAACTTCTCAGGCACACCCTTCTTCAGTAGACAATCCCAGAGAACAGTCCTGTCCAGCGTACCGAAAGCGGCCATAATCTCAAGAGACACTACGATTGTTGGCTTGTGATAAGTATTGGCGGTATTCTAACATTTGATGGAGGGTGGATATATGATCAATGCATCCTCGACCATAACGAAAACCAACCTGCTCCTCACGAGTCAATCATTCTCGGGTTTTGAAAAATCTACGAAGCCTGACGGAAGCCAATAGTATGGACGCTTTCAAAAGTAGACTTATCCCATGATAGTTGTTACAAAAAGACGTGAACCCTTACTCAAGACAGGGACAATTATCTACTCATTCCATGATAATGAAACACTCTAACTGTCAGACCTTTGTAAACAACTAAGTCAGCTCCTTAGCCAGAAATTCACAGTCATCTTAAAAAAGGATCGAAGATAAGTCATCTGAACCTGGTGATTTGTGGCGTTCAGAAATTGGAGTTTCTTGCGGACTTCCGTCTCGTTAGGTGGATCAGTCATCACAGGCCACTGAGGGTAGGGCAGTCTGATATGTTGCTGGTGAAGCAGACCAGTTGAACTGCTCCTCGAAAAACTCTGCCCATCATGCAAGACATCGATAGATGTTAGTAACAGCCGTCATCTTCACAGATTGTTTCGCTCACACTGGATTCCTCGCTGCCAGTGACTCGGATGAGTTGAACGGGCTTCCGACAGTTACCAGATCCAGCTGTTGCTTCCAACTCATCGGCACACTCCGACCACCAGGCTTCTCGATCCATCCGTACGCAAGCTTTGCCCAATTTCATTGCGTAACAGTCGTCGTTCGTGGTCATACTCGCGGCCACTCGTAACAGACTGGCGAGCTCCAGTGGGTTGTAATGAACCTGAAGAAACCCAGTGCTTAAGAGCGATACATTTCGCGAAGCCGCAAGCGACTTTGCTCGTCATTTTTATGACGTCATGTAATTGGAACCAATGCTCGTCTATACTTTTCGGTAGGCAGACATCTAGCCTTGAGCCAACCTCATTTTTATATTTAGTTGCAACAGAAGCTGCTAACAATTTACTGATATCGATCCATTTACGGCGATAAATTTGTTGGCCACCGAAACATGAGGTAAGATTAAAGCAAACAACGGCATGGTCAGAGTCCGGATAGCTACTCCGAAAGGAGCGGCAGTCTTGTACACAACCACGCCAGTAGTAGCCTGTCGCGACGTGATCAATCTGAGTTCAGGTTTGAGATGCAGAGGGGGGACAGCAGGTTGCAAATCGGCGATGACTGTGCCGATAGTTAGTGCTAGCCGGAAACAGGTTGTAGTGTGCACTATGTTGCAGTAGACGGTCACCGTTATCTGACCTGCAATCAACAAGTTTCCATCAGCCAACTAAACGACTTTCTTCTGTGTCTAGACGCTCGACCTGAGTATTCAGGTCTCCGGCTAGTACCACAATATCTTTCGAACGCACTTTCTATGGAAGAACAATTCACTGGTGGTAGAACTCATCCTTGATCGCATCCGAGCTGCAATCCGTCGGGGCGTAGGCGATGACAAAAAGACATAGTTTCTCACACCGTATTCTTCGCACTATGATGGAGCTGTCTAATCTAACAGCACATAACCGACTGTTAATAAGGATCCAATCGGTCAGTGCTGTTTCAGTGCATAGCGCGGCACCAACGCCAGCGAAAGCAAACGAAGATGTCACCGTGTCCCCAGATAAACGCATGTGATACAAGCATTTCGAAGCGACAGATGGAGAGTAAATTTGTAGTCCTTATTTGGGTCTTGGAAACGGATCTCGAATAGATAACGAACTTTGATGTTGAGACTTTCTAAAGACATAACCAACCCTATCTTTTGTCCGATCTGCATTAATGTGCGAACATTGGAGGTAAGTTCGGATTGTATAATGGGTTTCAGAAGAAATGTTTCAGTATTCGTATTCGGTTGTAGCATGCAACTTTCGACTTATTAGTGACTCGACATCGTTTTAAGGGAATAGAGTTTCCACCATAGGCGAGCAAATGTATAGGTTTAAAAATAAAATACGTAAAATGAGAATATAGGGGAATACATAAATGACGTAGTATAAAAGAAATAAAAACGAATGTTGTTAAATGATTGTGAGTGGGATTTGTCTGAATGCGGGTTGAAGCAAGAATGGTTTTTTCAGTATTAATCATCATTTGGTTTGTGTGAGGGCTGTAATACTGCACGGGTGCCAAAACTGAAGCAGGTGGTTTTCGTAGGGGGCCGCACCTGGAGCATTTAACCAAAAGGTCTAATCCACAAGTTAGTGTAGTGACGTTAGGAGATACAGTCGCGCGGTAGCCGGTGACCAACAATAAGTCCATACGCCATTTATTCCTTCCGAATCCTGAGGCCTATGTGCACCATTGGTTTAGAATCAGGATTTTCCAAATCCCCTAAGTGGACCCTCTG